ACTTCAAAAGCTGGTTCATAGATTCTGGGTTAAGAACTCTCATCTTGGGACAGAAACTGCCCAAATATTCGATGTTCCATTTCTTCGGTCTGGTAACTCCTGAAGATCAAAGGCTCTCTAAAGACACTGGTGGTAAAGGCTAGAGCCTAGAAGGCAGCCTTAACAAGCATGGACCTGATTCACAAATGAGGGCCATGGGGGTGATAGAATATTAAGAGAACTTTAATTAGCCAACTCTGGGTTTGTTCTCTTTTTTATTTTTTATTTTTATTTTTTGGCATTGAGGATTGAACCCAGGGCACTTAACCAATGAGCCATATCCCCGGCCTGAAAATGTTTTAAAATTATTTTTTATTTTGAGACAGCTCTTCCTAAGTTGCTTAAGGCCTCGTTAAAGTTGCTGAGGCTGACTTTGAACTTGCTGCCTCAGGCTGCCAAGCCACTGGGATTCCAGGCATGCCCCAGTGTGCGTGGCCCTTCTCTTTTTTTAACTTAAATTTTCTCCAGGTTTATTGAGGTGAGGTCTGGTTGACACAAATTCCACATATTTATGGTATAAAACATGAAGTTTATGATACACAATTTATGTTTACACTGTGAAATAATCACTGTAGTTATGCTAATGAACATCTCCATCAATTCACATGGCTACCTTTATTTTCTATAGTGAGAAGACAAGATTGATGTCCTTTCCAAAATTCAAGTACATAATACACTATTATTAACTATAGTCCCTGTTCTGTACATTAAGTCTCCAGTAGTTTTTCCTCTTATTACTGAAATGTTTACTTTTAACAATATTTCTCCTTTTCTGCCACTTCTCATCCCCTGATAACCATATTCTACTCTTGTTATGGGTTCAGCATTTTTTTAGATTCCACTTATAAGTGAGATCATAGCAATATTTTTCTTTCTGTGTCTGTCTTGGTTCACTTTGGCATAATGTTTTCAAGTTTCATTTTGGGGGGGAGTGGGTACCATGGATTGAACTCAGGGGCACTCAGCCACTGAGCCACATCCGCAGCCCTATTTTATATTTTATTTAGAGAGAGGGTCTCACTGACTTGCTTATCTCCTCACTGTTGCTGAGGCTGGGTTTGAACTCGTGATCCTCCTGTCTCAGTCTCCTGAGTCACTGGGATTATAGGTGTGTGCTACCACATCTGGCTATCTCATTTATTTTTAACAAATGTCACTACTATTGTCCCCACTTTACAGACAAGGAAACTGAGGTAAAGTATTGCTCTAGTTGCTTGCCTAAGATAAGTAGGAGATTTTCTCTCTTACTGGGCACAGTAGGCCATGCATGTAATCCCAGCTACTTGGGAGGCTGAAGCAAGAGAATCACAAGTTCAAGGCCAACCTTGGCAAGTTAATAAGACCCTGTCTCAAAATCAAAAATAAAAACGATTGGGGAAGCAGTTTAGTGGTAAAGCACCCCAGGGTCGATCCAAAAACAAAAAAGTGGCAAAGTCAGGACTTGATCCCAAGTCAAATTAAATAAGCAAAATTTACTAATCAATAAGTTAGTTAAAGAAACTGAATCCTAGAGGCAATATTGATCTAAGTGGTATCATGCATATGTGCTTATATTTTAGATATATAGTTATCTCATTGCTTGGCACAATTCATATACATTGAATTCTGCACTCAAAAACTTATCCCATACTGATCCTAGGATGGGAAGAAACAGATCTGCACTGGAAGATAACTTACTGAAATCTAACTGAACTTCATGAAGTGTTCTGTGAAGAAGATTATATATGATATGAAAAAAATAGCCATTTATTTAGTGCAATTATTTGCCTATAGACATTTTTAAAGGGTAGTATATTCTATCTTCATATGATCTAAAGAATTAAAGCATACCAAACAGGAAAGAAAAGGAAGAGTCTGCAATTGAATATAAGGCACAATATTTTGCCAGAAGTAATGAAGGTAGAGTACACACTAAATCTATGCCAAGTTTCAGAGATTTCATTAGGTAACTGCTTATTTATTTATTTTTTTACTTACATAGGCAAAATAGATTCTGCAGTTACCGGTTGCATTAAATGCATCAAATAAACTTACCAAAATTGATACTATAAGGTGAAACATTAAGTTCCTGGGTTGCAACTGTGTATAATTTTAAAATAGCTTTTACAATGTATTGATTTATTTGAAGGTGACAGGGGCTGGGTTTGTAACTCAGTGGTAGGGCACTTGCCTAGCATGGTACTGTTTTAAAAAAGGAAAGAAACATGATGTAAGGAAGAGATTAAATACCTTTCAGATTTTAGGTGGTATCATGCGAGTGATATTTAGAGCACGTCACAAGGTTCCTGCTTGATCATAGTGTATTTATTGATGTGCATTGTGGATATAATTAGTCAATGCTACCTTATTACTTTGGATATTGATGGATCTAGGTTTCTATACCAGAAAGACGATGAATAATTTTTTCTGGTGCTAGGGTTTGAACCTTGAGCTCCCTATGTGCTAAATACATGCTCTACTATTGAGCTACAGCCCAAGCTCCAAAGTTCATGATTTTAATGATCTTTCTGGGATATAACTGAACTGAGGTGGAGTAAGAATTCAAAGTTTTCATTTTATTCCAGAATGGTTCACTGATTACTACAACACTTGGCCTGTAGTTGATGCTTAACATGTTGATTGTATGAAAGGATGAGAAAACATATTTGGAGCTCTGACTCACACTGAAAAACATCTCAAGAGACCATTTTAACAGAGCAAGATGTTATATTGGGAAACACACCTTCCACAACCATGGAACATGGATTGACTGTTCAGTGCATTCTGTCCTCAAAAAAGAAAGATTACTTAGGAAATCTCAAATGTTATTTCCATTCTACAATAACAAAGAAAAGGCATCAGGTAACATGATCTGGGATTAGAATCATGATCTACTATCCTAATGTATCCATCTCTATTCCAAGGGTGTTTCTTTCCAGGATTTATACATATCATCTTATTTGGGAAAGGTAAGTCCCCAGCCATGTACTCGACAATTCTCAGCATTTGCCTGGTCTTTCAGTAGATTCTCTTTTAGTCACTCTGAAGTAACCTTATGACTGACATAGCCCTAGCTTTATTACCTTGGAAACTGATGTCTTCTTGTGGAGATTTTAGAGAGCACTTTATGCTCAGAAGCTAGAAGATACCTTAGTCCCATCCCTAGCTCACTGGAAATATTACCATTTAAAATTGTTCAATGGGTACCTGTGGCAAAATGTGCTGGTTCCTCACCCATATCTGGTCCCCCTCCCCTTTCACAATAATATGGCATATAGGATTTAACTGACACATGACTTCCCACAATAAAGACATTTGTCAGTCTCCTTCATAGCTAGGTATGACTGTGCAACACATACAGAAGGATGAGTTTTTGTTAATGGGAGGTATAGGGATGTGCCGTGGCTATTGGTGAATTGTCCTTTAAATGGAACGGATAAGCTCCCCCACTGGTCCTCTTTCACCCCTCTCATTGGCTGGAATGAAGATAAGTGGTGAGCCAATCGGACCATGAAGATGAGGCTGCATTAGTGGGTAGATGGAGCTATACAACAGAAGCAAGCTGAGCCAAGTGCAGTGGTGCACGCCTGTAATCCCAGCAACTCAGGAGGCTGAGGAAGAAGGCTCACAAGTTCAAGGCCAACATGCACAGTTTAGCAAGACTCTGTCTCAAAATACAAAATAAAAGGGGCTGAAGATGTAGCTCAATGGTAAGTGCTTTCCTAGCATGCACAAGTCCTGGGGTTCAATCCCCAGTGCCACATACACACAAAAAAAAAATTGAAGAAGAAGAAAGAGGACAGCCTGTATCCCTGACAACTTTGAAGAATAGAGTCACCATAGCAGTTCAGACTCTGATCTGTGAAAAAAATGAACTCCTATCTTAAGCCAACATTATTTGGGATATTTGATTTGCAGAAGCTACAATGATATTCTAATACTGTACACAAAACCTTATTTCTACTGATGACTGTCCTCATGTATGTTATTCATAAAGGGTAACTTTAAGTTTGACTGGAAGATTGGGTCAACAGATAATGCATTGAGCACCCACCTGGGCATCAAGCTGGGAGAACATGTTGTTCTCTCTGTTCACTATTAACATCTGCTGAACAGACTTGGTACAAAGATTAGAGGTAAGTGATTATAATAATGTACGTGACGTTGCCTAGAGCAACAATAGGTACATAACAAGTATTTAATAAAGTTTTTATGATGAAACTAACTTTGACTTTTTCTGTTTTTGATTCTCAAATATAAGCTAGTACCCATGAAAATATTATACTAACATTTCTTATTATAAGTATATCTCTGAATTATCTATCAATGCCAGTTAGTGGAAGAGAATAATTAGGTATACAAAAACTTTGGTTAAAAGGCATTTGTGTGATGTATCTGAACTAGTCAGAACTGTGTTACAATAAATAGGCATCCCACTAATTCTGGGTATGATATCAACAAGGACTCTCCTATTCTTCCTTCATGCCATCTTTTCCTTGAATATGTTAAATAATGCAGTTGTCCCTTAGTACCTATGGGGGGATTGGTTTCAGGACCCTCCAGAGATACCAAAATCTGCAGATACTCAAGTTTCTTGTATAAAATAATGTAGGGAAACCAATGGAGGGTGGAAATTAGACAGAGGAATGGAAGTGGGGGGTAATAAAATAAAACAAATTATGCTATGTATAGGTACAAATATATCACAATGAAGCCCACTTTTGCATATAATTATAATTCACCAATAAAATATTTTTTAAAATACTGTAGTATCTGCATACACCTATGCATAACCTCCTGAATACTATAAATTGTATCTAAATTACTTATAATACATACTAAAATGTAAATGCTATGCAAATAATTGTTACACTGTATTGTTTAGTGGATGATAACAAGAAAGCAGTCTACATGTTAATACACATGCAGTTTTCAATTGACAGGCAAAATTGCACATATTTATAGGGGGCCGTGTATTTTTTTTTAATATGGAACACTTCATTAATTTGCATGTCATTCTTGTGCAGGGGCCATGTTAATCTTCTCTGTGTTGTTTCAATTTTAGTATATGTGCTGGCAAAGCGAGCACCCATGTAATGTTTTGATGGATGTATATATATGCATGTGTAATGTTTAAGTTAGGTTTAAGTATATCTATCTCCTCAAACATTTATCATTTCTTTGCACTGAAAGCAAAGTTTTTTTTCTTCTCTCTTTTTAAAAATATATGGTACATTAGCATTATCTATTAGTCAGGCAATCAGAGAAACTTTACCTCCAAAAGCAGTGGTCTATTGAGCTTCTCTGGGTGAAGTACTGTTGCTGCTCTAGGTGACAAGTGTAACGTCAGCATCAATGCCAGACCCAGTTCATCACTACAAGGACCTTCATCACCACCGTCTGTGAAACCTGCCCATCTCTCTCCCAGCCTCTCCAGAATGGATTCCAAGCAGTGCTTCCTTCATGTCATCTTCTACTAAATGGAGCTATATTCAAATTATGATTGAGTTTATCTGTTAGGGAGACTCTAAGGCATACCCTTGTAGCCTAGTGGCAAGGGAAGCTGCGAAGGCAGATTTCTATTTTATTCTTTGAGAAAAAATGTGGACTGTAAGGGTAAAGGTGTGACTTGACAGGAGGCTGAAGCAAGAAGATCACAGGTTCAAGGCCAGCCTCATAATGTAGTAAGATCTTGTCTCAAACTAAAAAATAAAAACAGCTGGAATTGTAGCTCAGTGATAAAGTGCCCTCTGCCCTGGGTCAATCTCTAGTTCTGCAGGAAAAAAAATGTTAGATTTCCACTCCAGGGACCACATAATCTAACTCCCTACTGCTTTACATAGAAAAGGACTTTCCTAGTATCACACAATTATCAATGACAGAGCTGATTCTGAGAATCATGTGTGCTTTCAACACTCTTTCTACCAATAGGCATTGTTTTCCATCACTCAACTGTATCATGTGGGACATTCAGACAAGATGCAGTCAGTTGGGAAAGAAATCAATGAAAAGCTGCTATTTCTTCTGTTATCCACTCAATATATATTTAATGAGCATCTAATGCATTCTAGGCACTGATAAACAATGTTCAGTCTAGTGAGGTTAATAGGTAAGTAAACAGACAATTTCAATACAATGTTAGAAATGCTGTAGTAGAGAAGCATGCTTAGCTATTTTTCCTTCAGAAAAATTAAACGAAATTCCTCATTCCTTGGATTTAAACTTGGTTTTTAATTCAAGGAGCTCAAGAGATCTAGATAGCTCACAGATAATTTTCAGACTTAGGTCCATCAAGGTTCTGTGGATTGCCCAAGGTTGCTAACCCTCCATTAGGCATACCTCACTGGAACCCATTCTTTATTGTATGGTTGGCCTCTGGAGGTCCTGTTTCTTCATCTGTGAAATGACTCATTTGCTCTGAGGATTGAACAATATAATATCTTCATCGAGGTACCTCTGGTTGCTAGTAACAGATACCTACCTGAGCTAGCTTAATCAGTAGAAGAATATTATGTGGTATGTGAAGTTTCATGGAACACAAAGTCAGTAAGAAAAATCGTGATTCAGGAGGGACTGAAGCCATGAACTGGGAAGTCATCAGGAATCAGGGAATTTCTCTCTCCCTTTCTTTTCCCAATTACTCTCTTGGTTTATGTGGTCTTTCATATCTCAACATTTGCCTGAATTCTCTTTATAATTCCAATTTCCATTTCCACAAACATGACAAAATACAGTTTCCCAACATGGATTCGATTTACAAATCCTGGGTTTTAGTGACTGATATAGATTGACTAGCATCTCTGAATTCCAATTCCAGATTCTCAGTGAGGGTGATGTGAAAGGCAACCAAGGCAAGATGGTGAGTGAGGAAGTCCGGGGCAGGGTCAGACCAGAGAAGCATGGAGAGGGTCTTTCAATGAGGTCAACTTCCTTGTTGACAAAAGTGCTCCTGGACACAAAGGGGCGGGGACCCATACACTTCCATATTCATGCTTTCAAGCAGCGGATCCAATAGAAAAACTAAAACAGACATGTGGACAGAGGGGGCACCAATGAATAATAGTGAGGAGCTCATGGGCAGGGAAGAAGATAAGGAAAGAAGGAAATTCCAGAGATCATAAAAAGAACAGGCCAAAACTCCCCCACCAGAGTCCCAGCTTTGGGCCTTCT